GGAGGAAACAAAAATGTCTGAAAGGTTTCAGATTTTAAATTACATCCGAAGGGGCGTTTTTTAACGTTTTGTGTGTTACCTTTATTTATTAAATATCATGTTCATTGCTCTTAAACCATAAAATTCAGTTCAATAGCAATGTCTCAAAATAATTTTAAAATGAGCCTACCTTTAGAATTTCCAATACACAGTTTCGCGCGCTGGAGATAAAAAGGTTTTTCCCCAGTAGAGTGTTGCTATTGCTTGCTTTGAAATCCTTGAGTTTTTTAATCAAAAATTTGTTAACGTTTTACAAAATATGAAATCGATAATAAAACAAATTCCAAATTTCAAATTTGTTCTTCCACATCCCCATATTCGTAGGAGGAAAACGTCATTCAAAATTCGATGGCTCTATGTACTGTTGTTTTATCACAATGTGAGAAATATGCATACATTTATGCCGATTTTTCATTATTTAATTTCTTCAAATATAATGCAAGACTCTAACATTTGGTGACAACAATTTGAAAAGTGAAACGGACATTTATAGTCATTCAACGCAAACGAAAACAATAGTCTTTCAGAGACAAAGCCCCTTTGGATTATTAAGGCCCACCAGCGGCCGAGCGGTAAAGTCGCTGAACACTGGTAGTTCGGTCCGAGGTTCGAATCCCGGAAAGGGCTGGCTGCATGGGTGTTTTCGTGGTTTTCCCCATGTGTAACGTGTATACGAGTCAGTATCCCTTAGAAAGTCCTCCACGAAGGCATCCCTTTCCTTAGGCAAATAGCCCTAGTGTGCTTTGCCATAATTAAATACACCACACCCTTTGGATTAATTAAAAGCAGTTAAAATTTAAAGCCTCTATAAGAAAATGATTCTACGTTTGAAAAAGTCAGAAAAGTAGTATAATGGCAGAGAGATTTAGTGTTGGTTATCTTAAAGACGAACGTAGTTGTAAATGTTTGCAGCATAGATGTTTAAGGTAAAAGATGTATTTACCAATGCAAAGATGTAAAGGGATCATAACGAAAATTCACAATTTAACACTCTCTAAAACGACATCCACTAAACATGAGCTAAGTAAGCTTGATAATATAATAAAAGAAGAAGCCATGTGAGTTTAAATTCTGCAAAAAATAACCGATTCCTAAAACTGTTAACGTGTGAACTGTTCCACATTATACAGAATTCAGAATGAGCATCATTGTATCAAATGTTGCGAATGTCACCAATCTTACATGAAAAAATCCTGTTTATACTCTAATATGTGATATACTCCAACCGTATTAGAAATATGTCTTGAAAGTTTGCGCTACATCAAAATATATTTCTCACAGAGAATAAACATGTTAGATTATTCTACGTAAAGTGCAAAAGGGAATGATAGTGAACACTGGCCTTGGCAACCGACGATCTACAGGTCACCGAATGACCCATTTCATAATTTCAAGTGACCCACTTGAGTTTCGAAAATAAAGTATAATACATAAAAATGAACTATAAAACGTAAATATGAAATAAAAAGTTGAATAATACATAAGAAACATTAACTGAAAATAAATAATAATAACATTTTTACAATGTTGAAGTAACGAACATGTATTTTATTTTAAAAAATAAAATTTGTAACATAATTTCAAGGAGAAATCGATAAGTTAAACAACGTCGATCCATAATCCATAGTTTCAAAAAACTGGCTTTGGCATTTTGCCCGCATTCGTTCCGAATTACAAATGTGAGCAAATATTTTTACATACATAATTTACTTTAAGTAAGAACAGGAGAAGCTTAAGGACCGAAATTTCAGGTGATTGTATTCGTTTTAAGATGATTTACTATAAGTCAAACAAGACTAAGATGACGTCACAAGTTAACAATCAGAGCAGCCATTACTAACGAAAAGAGAATATAGAACAGTTAAAAATAATTCAAGGTTGTACAGTTATATATTATCAGTCATCTTCATTGTATATATTACATAATTTGTTATCAGAAAATATCTGATAGCCCATTTCATCAAAATGTGAATTTCCTTTCGAAAATCATTAAGCAAAAATGAAAACTATATTGTCACTGTAAAAGTAGCGATATTAAGTTGAAAAAATTGCATACTAATTACTGCAAAAATATTAATGTACTTCTTAAGTGTATTATATGAATGAAATAATTGTTCTAGCGCGTTTTCTGCATTCTACTGAACTTGAACTATTTTTAAAGATAAATAGTACAGCATATTATCAATTTTAGAAATAACAATTAAATTTCAAACATGTTGTCAATGGAAGAGAAATATTGAAACAGGAGTACGTGAATTGATCCAGATGCTCGCTTGAATTCTTGCGTGAACACTCATTTGCATCTGTTAGAATTTGATGAAAACTGATTTTAAAAATGTACGATCAAATAAATATATCTGGCATAAAATTATTTCTAAATTATATTTTACTATTTAAAGATATATTTTTTCTATAATATCAGGTTTCAAAATTTAATCAAAATACGTGCAGAAATTACCTGAAAAATTGAATTCCCCATCTATAAAATTTTAAAATATTTGATTAATTATTTACCATAACCACAGAGGCGTTTTGACAAACTCATATCTACAACTATTTAATAAACCATAATCATTAATAAATTTATTGTACATATAACGTTTCTTTAAATAACGATGAGCTAAATATTACTATGTCATGTAGTTAGGTTTAGTAGGTCAGTTAAGAAAAAAAGTACTCTATTAGACCTCAACAAGTAGCAATTCTCAGTAAAACATGCAGTGCTGTTTATTTCAGTACATAATACAGTGGTTTCAAACCAATGGCCAGCGAGTACGTTCTCCGCATATTAATTTACATTATAATGACCAGAATTTAAAGAATGGTTTATGATTTTTAACGATTTGGAGTTCAGTTTAACATTATTTTCATTACCATTAAAAACGAGCTTGAGTAATGCCCCAGAAAATCTACAAATACAGCTAATTAATTTGCATTGCGATATAAATCTTATTCAAAGATCTGAACACACAAATTTAATTAATATGCTTCGTAATTGTCAAAAGATAATTAGTTTCAGATAAGAATTTTTGCAATAAGAATAATCCATTTGTTTGGGAGTACGTTTATTTGTTTTGGGTTTATTCATTTGTTTGGGAGAATAGTTTTGATTCGCTATTGAAAATTAATTTAGTAAAACTAAAATAAAAGAAACAGAATGAACTATAAGCATTTACAGTTTCTAGTGAGGATAACGTCTAGCAATTTTTCTTCAAGGTTATAAAATTTATCAAAATAGACTCTGTATGTGGTGTTGTAGCTGAATGTTATAGTAAGAAATAAAGAAGTTTATAATTATTTAGATACAAATAAATGTATTTCTTCCTTATGCGTAGGAGAAAAAAATTAATAAAAAAAAGGGTTAATTTGTCATCATTTTTTCCAGTTTTGTTACACTTAGAAAGTTTTCGCAATTTCGTTATTTTGAAGTAATTTACAGGGTCCTAAGTATGTAATATTAACACAACGTCCTTCAGAACCTATTAGATTAACAAGCGAATTATCACTCAGTTTGAATTAGTTCAGCAAAATGTTATGAAGGCTTTAAATAACTTTTTATTTAAAGGCTGAATTCGTAGCCATTTCTGCGTACAAACAAAACTGCCCCCCAAAATGTTCACCCATTCCCCCATAAAAACTAAAAAAAAAAAAAAAAGACAATACTGTATCACCCGTTCTTCTGGGCCGATTCATGAAATTTAATATGCGTTTTTGATCTCTCAAAAGTTCGTCTTAGTAGAGATACATATTAGATTTATACATAGCATTGTTCTAGCATAGGCATTGACACAAGTCAGATGTTTTTGAAATGACATATCTATTTTTTCCATATTTCGACTCTATGACGCAAATTATACCAAAGTGCCATGTTTTTAAAAAATCGTACCAATAGTTTTTTAATAATCAGTTCTCAAAATTTTAGCTCATCAATGTTAATTGAATTTGGTATATATTTATTAATATCTCTTTTTTTATTAAACTTACTTGACTCCATTTTTCACAATTCAAAATTTAGATTCAATACAAATAAAATTCGCAGATAGTTTCTGGTTTGCTTTCGAATTTGTATTTTTAGAAATTTTTGTAGGAAAAATTTGAATTATAACCAATAAAAGTTTTACCATCACCTAGAAATAGATGTATTTCTAGATACGCTCAAAGCATTAAAGTATTTTATTAAAAATTTCCCAAAATATACGTGAATTTATACATTAGCTCGTTTTGAAATTAGACATATTTGTTATAATCGATAATAATACCAAATCTGGTTTACGCACTTTATTAAAATTATTTGGAAGAATGAGCGATGCACCTTTTCTTCCACTTGTGCGCAATGAAAGGGAAAGGGAAATAGGTTACCATAAACTAAGAATTTCACTAAACGATTATTCTTGGCGTAGGGCAGAAAAAGTGCGCCAAGACAAACTGTCGAATTTCTCGGCAAGTTTCTCACCAAATTTTACCACATTTAATATTTAGGAATAATGTGTGTCGTAGAATCGACAATTATGGAAAAAAATCAAGTATATCATTCCAGAAAAATTCCGGTTTTGTGTCAAAATAACTGTGCTAGAGCAATGCTGCATATATAAATCTAATATAAATCCTAAGTCGCGCTTTCGAGACATTAAAAACGGATATTAAATTTCGTCAATCGGCCCAGTAGAGCAGGAGATACAGAACTGTTCCTTTTTTCCCCCAGACTCTACACTATGTTAAATTGATGCTTCAGTATGTTAATGATCTCATGAGCAAGTTTAAAATCATTAAAATTTTAACGTACTTGTTTATTGCTCCAAATACGTTCTGATTATAATAATTTCGCGTACTAATTGGGCTAAATTACTGGAAGAAAACAATATTATGTATTCCCTCCTGAAGTACCTCGCAAAGCAATAAATACTTTGATGCTTTTTAAGGGAACTCAAAAAGCAAATTATATACATGGAATGTTTCTTTACCCAGAAATATTCGCTTTTGAATCCCTTGATCTTTCTGTGTGTCCTTCCGACGTTTCTCAAGTAGTCAATGCAGTGGTCGACGTTGTCCAAAGACATGATACTTTCATCGAGTGTCGTCATAACTGTGGTTGCGTGTTCTCTGAGCTCTTCGCTCTGTTCTCTTTCTTCCCGAGACTTCAAGTGCTTGAACTTCTCGAATAGCTCCAGAAGCTCTTCGTTTTCTTCAAACAACCTAAAAATAGACGTTTGTGTGATATTTTAGGCAAAATTTTTGTATAAAATACATTTTCACTAATAACAGCAAAGGTATGCACAAGCGCCACTAAAAACAGTGCTATAGTAATAATGACTGGCACAAAGGACGAACATCGATTTGATGTTCAATAATAGATATATTCAGTATTTATTTTAGTATGAAAACGCTCAACGTGATTTGAAAGGCCGAAAACATAGCACCAATGCTTAAAACTGAATTGAAGAACGGCTGCTCAGATATATTTGTCCCCTCTTGTTAGTTATATAACGCGCATTAGAAACTCTCTTTGAGAAAACAGAATAACAACGAATCTAGGAAATTAATAGTGTAAATAATTTTTGATGATAAAACATTTTTGAGGTATATTTAATTTAAATAACCAGTTATTTTACGTTTTGTATCTTTACTGTCACTTCTCTCTTTCCGTTTTCCCCCCATAATGCAAATTAGTTCTCGTTCATTTAAGTGAGAGTTTGAGATTGTTAAGACAGAGCGTGTTCTGCCTCTTGAAGGCCACGTTAATTTCCTGTCTTTGGCGTTGCATTATATTTGACGGTAGTTTAAATTCACGCCGGTGAAGCTGTCAAGATTAATGTCTTTGTGTTTTCCTTAAAAAGAGTTTACAAACGTTAGAATGCGTTGTAAGGATCTTAAGTTTTACTAACGTTTAGTTTATTTTAAATCTTTACTATCACTTCTTATTTTCTACTTCCGGCCAGAATTAAAAGCTTTAACTTATTTATGCAAATTTGTCTGGCGAATGCCAAGTACTTAAGTTGTGGCTTTTTGCCAAGCGAGAGAGAGGAAGGAGTTAGTCGAAGCAGGCCGCTTGCCTTAGCAGTTTTACTCGGTTGCTGGTTGCCTTCCAGGCCAGAGGTTTAATCCTCTTGATAATTTTAAATGTAGTGGTAGTGTGTTAACAGTTCTCTGTACTACATACGGCTTCCTGTTAATATACGGTACGGCCAATTTTCCACGTAGGCCCTTGTTTATTATTCCAAATTTAAGTTAGAGGTTAGTTAATATTTTTATATTCTTACGTTCAGACCACAAGTAGTTGGTCTCTGTATTCCGAAGTACGGAAATTATTGTAAAGAGTGAAAAATAAAGGGTTTCGTATACCCTTCCTGTGTATCTTGTCTACTTTCCACATTTATTGAACATAGCTTTAGTAAGCTTCCTGTTCCGAGTCAGGTCTCTGCATGTTCCCAAAGAAAGTAAGGCGGAACATTGAACCTGATAGTGGCGCCCAACGAAGAAGAATAACCATGGCCGAGTTTCAAGAAGAACCTGTGCTGCCTGCAGAAGCGGCTCAGAATCCAGAAATGCCAGCTGCCGCCCTGGAAGGATTTGGTTACATCGTCCAGCCCATGCGCGCAGCGATGAAACCAGAAGCAACATTTAATGGAAACTCACCGATAACCAGGTTTTTTGGAAAAATTGGAGGACCACTTCATGATGTATCCCGTGCACGAGTTCCAGAAAGTTACCTTAGCTACCAGCGCTTTGAGGGGCCAAGCGCTTAATTGGTTCAAATGCATAGGCAGAAGTCTCTTGCGTCAAGCAGGAAGTCCCACCTATACTTACGAAAATTTCAAGACTGCCCTAGTAAAAGCCTTCCCTGTCGTACGGGATCGTGCGAAATTAGAAACGGAACTTTTCAGCATATATCAGCAAAGAATCGAAAATCTCTCAAGCTTTATTTTAAGAAAAATTCACGTCTTCAAACTCTTGTATGGAAACCGTCCGGATCCTGAGATAATTCAAGTGATTTTGCCGAGGTTACTTCCCCAAGTACAAGACTTTATTGAATTAAGGAATCCGACTACACTGGAAAAATTATTTGAGCTAGCAATCCAGTTTGAAAGTAGAAGAACGGCGGACATTGAAAGAAGACGCCAGTATGAAAAACGAAACCAATTTGGCCCGCGAAGACCACAGCAAAGTCAAGCACACGGCTACGGAAGCAAAGGGAATCAGTGGGCAAGGAAACCCGAGCATCCAAAAACAGCCGGCGAACGTCGAATCAAAAATAATCGCCTGTGCAAAAGTATCCGCCACCAAATACGGCGAAGAAGCTCTCTTCTGTTCTAGGACTTTGTTCATATTATAGGTCCTTTATAAAAGATTTTGCAGCTATTGCTGAACCATTGTTAAAATTAAAAAGGAAAAAGGCAAGATTCTTGTGGACGGCCGAAGCCAATAGTGCTTTCGAAAAATTAAAGCAAGCATTAACGCAAGTCCCTGTGTTGAAATTTTCTGAAAAGGATGAGAATTTAGAAATTTCAGCGGATGCTTCGGATTATGCGGTAGGAGCGGTACTTTCGCAAAATCAGCAGCCCGTGGGATTTTTTAGTCGAACTTTAAATCAAACACAAAGAAATTATTCCGCGACTGAGAGAGAGGCACTTGCAGTTCTGTTAGCAGTGCAAAAGTTCCGAGTCTATTTTGGAAGAGCGCCAATAACAGTGTATTCTGATCATGCGGCGGTAACTAGATTGTACTCAGGGAAAAACTTTATCCCCAAGGTTAATAAGATGGGCACTCAAGCTTACAAGAATATAATCTGGTAATCAAGCATACCCCCGGAAAGGAAAATATCGTAGCAGATGCCCTATCCAAGAATAAAATAGATGAAGAAGGTAATACTGTAAAGGTGGCAATGCTCACAGCATGTACAATAAATTCCCGAGAAACTGTAATAACCGAACTGGGTAAGGATCCTGAGTTTGGAAAAATTTATGAGTATTTAAAGGATCCTGAAAATTTTAGCCACCAAGATAATGTGGCGATAAGAAATAGGGCGGCCCATTACGAACTAATAGATGGCCTATTATTTTATACAAAAACTACAAATTCCAACAACGAATTTCGACCTGTTATCCCAGCTAGTCTTAGATTAAATATCCTGCAGGAGTTACACGACAGCCCTTTAGCTTCTCATGCTGGTATTCGAAAAACTATTCAACGCGTACGCGAGGCTGTCTATTTTCCTGAACTGCAAAAGTTAACAAGGGCGTATGTCCAGGTCCCCAACATGCCAAGTAGTATGTTAACATGTCAAGCAGTTAATTATATTAATTTCCGCCCGGCCGGGTTTCTAAATAGTATTAAATCCGAATTTCCAAATGAAATAATTGGCATCGATTTATTGGGCCCTTTTCCCAAAAAGTCAGTTAAATAAAAGTCGCTATCTCCTTGTTATGGTTGATCATTTTAGTAAATGGACCGAAATTGTTCCCTTAAAACGAGCCTCCGCGAAATTAGTTACTGATTCTATTTTAAATAAATATATTTTAAAATACGGGGCGCCCCTAAAAGTTATATCGGATAATGGTCCTCAATTTGTAAGTAATATATTTGAAGACATGTGCCAAAAACTGGGCATACGTCATTTAAAAATGGTCCCGTATCGGCCGCAATCAAATATAGCAGAACGGGTCAATAGAAATATAGTGAAAATTATCCGTAGTTATGTTGAAAAGCTGTTCATAAAAGCTGGGATAACTATGTCAATGAATTAGCTTTCGCCCTTAGGACTGCAAAACATGATACAAAGGGCAAAACTCCTGCTGAGTTATTTTTAGGCAGAAAGATTATAACCCCGTTAGACAAATTATTTTATGTTCAACAAAGAGCCCCAGAATTTAAAATGGGTGATATAGAAAAATTAATTAAAGAAGCAAAAAAGAACACAGAAGTAGCACAAAGAAAACAGAAAGCTCTATTACGACATGAATGAAACGACGGGGAGTAACTTATAAAGTATGGGATGAAGTTGTTAAAAAATTAAGCATTCACTTTCTTCAGCACCAGAAGATAAAACCGCCAAAGTTTTTCCACGATTTGAAGAACCATATGTCATAGAAAAAAATAACTCAGGCTGTAGTGGTTTTAAAAGCCAGGAATGGTGAAACATGCTCCGCAAACATTGACCAAATAAAACCTTACTATGACCGTAATAAAATGCAAATAATTACAGATCTTTTGCAGGATCCGGCATGGAAGGCAGGCAGGCACAAGCTCCAGAGGTGGAACAACGACAAGTACAAGGGCAAGCCATTAGGAGGGAGGAGCAATTGAAAAGAAAGTTTCCCCGTTGGAAAATTGAAGGTAACAAGAAAAAGAAGCCGTTCCACCGACCACAAAAGAGAGCGCACGACCACCCCAGAATGAAGAAGGGAGAAGTACGACGAATGCAAAGAAAGCCAGGAGAATAACGGCAAACTATAACCCGGCTCCCAAACGGAAGATCTACTCATCGGACAGGACTCTACGCAGCAAATGTCGCCGAACTGCGAAAGGACCACCAGCGGCGGAGGAAAAGATACAAGGAAAATTTGAACGGACCAGCAACGAGATCCAAGCAGGAACGAGAGAGAAGTCTCCCGGTTCCGCCAAGACCAGCTGGCCATCAAACGGCCAAGACCACAGGCAGAGGCGGAAAAGGTGGTCTTCAAGGGTGACCGAACTGGAGGGAAAAGAAAGCTCCTACAGGAAGGAACTGAAGGGCGAGTCCGCACAAGAAGGGAGGATAAATCAAACACGAATCTTCGCTACCTTTCCAGGACTGGGCAGTGAAAAGAATGTCCGAATATCACAAAGATAAGTAAAAGTTTTATGTTACTTTGCAAACTTAAGTTAATCTTTCATTCTTACTGCAAGTGGCAGATTTCAAGAACTTTTACCTCATGTGAGGTCTACCTTTATCGCCAAAAAGGCGAGAAATGAGATGTTACCTATTTGGTATTATGTTTTTCAATTACTCGCGAGTAAAACTAAAGTTGATGTATAATAGGAATGTGTAAATACTTGAAATATTGTAAAAGTTATTGTATAAATTTTATTTAAAAGATTCTGGCAAGAAAGAAGTTTTTAGTCTGAAAGACTTTTGAAATGTAGTATTTCAATGTAGAAGAATTGGCACTTGCTTGGAAAAGAATAGAAGTTAACAATGTACTACTAATGTATGTTTT